TTGCACAAAAAATATTAAAAATCATAAAATATTACTTCTATAAAGTAAATATCAGAAAAACGCAATTTTTGAACAGTTGTTCAAGTTGTTCAGGATTTTTCGATAATGTTGGTGGCACTCATGATGGCATTCTACCACACTTCCACGACTTTTCTTAAACAAATTAGTCCCAAATCTAGCGCAATTGGCTATATAGATCACCTGATTTGATATCGTTGCAAATCTTTCTATGGAGATATCTGAAAAGAAAAATTTCCATCAAGCGACCAAATACTTTGGATTAGAAAAGTATTTTCATGTAATTTTACTATCTTTTTATCGGCACACTATATGCTGTTCTAGAGGGTTATAATTTGTATACCAGTGTTGTCACTCATATTCATGCATTTAACAACTTATTTCCTGTATCAACAGGTTATCCTTTCATGGTGAGCTACCAAAGCCTCGTTGCGTGAAGATAACTTTGAACAACCGCGATACCAACAAAACTTCATTTAATAACAATTTATAGTATCAACAAAAATCTGAAACACATTTTGTAGTTCTATTCTATCAGTATTTGATAGATACGCAGAGTACTTGAAAACATGGTAATTTAATATAGTTCAGTTTTTTTGCTTATTGGCATTTATAAAATAGGTCATCTGTGGGTACATTGTGATGAAAATCAAAACTGTATAAAATACTTTGGTTGATCCTTCACTCTTGGTACGTAATGAATACTTCAAATTTTTGCAAATGAACGGATGTTTATAGCTGTAGGTTCTGGATTTCAGATCTTCTTTTGTTATTAGATTATTGCTTATTTTGTCGATTGTCTGACAAGTGACACTTTTGAGTCGTCCAATATGCCTGTTGTATAAATCATGAAATTTGTAACATTGTTACCTTGTCTTGGAAAACTTTTAATGCAGAGTTCGGCAAAAACATCACCCGTATTTCAAAAGGCAAATTACAAACAAAAATATCGAAAAAATAGTTTTCTTCGTGGACAACAAATACTATCCCACTTTCACATTGTTTGATTTTAATAATTAGTTGGGTGAATGGAATTGTTGACACATTGACGAAGCATCTCCCGGAAATTGTCTATAATTCTTAATGCTTTTTCCGCTAGATTGGGTCATTTTCTGGGTGATTGCTTCCTTAACTGCTTGCAGAGTTGTGGGATGATATTTACAAACTAACACATTTTAGTGTCTCCAAGGAAAAAAAATCTCAAGGTGATAAATAAGGAGGTTTGTGCAGGATTCTTCTAACACTCTTATCAGATAATCCCAGGGCAGCTGCATGTTTAACTGCTTAACGCGCCATATTTTCCCGTGTTATTACGGCCCAAGGTCGATCAATAAATTTTTCCTGTTCTAAGGTTGATACTGAAACTTGAAAAGTTTTCCCATCCGGAACAAAATCATGAACCGAATGGGTAATGCGCACTGAGTAATAGTCACAGAACCAACATTGGTGAATACCAGCAACGAATATACTCGTGTACTGCTATCAATGTATATTCTCTCCGTCCCTACCAGAACTCCACATTGTTCTCATCAAATACGGGAGCCCTTTTTGCTGGACTCTGTATACTGATCAATTTGGCAAAATATTTAGGAACTGTTGGACTCAATAGTAGTTGCATGGTCTTTATGTCATGAAGGCAGTACAAAGCTTTCTTACAAATAATATATTGTATGCAGACAATCTGTATCAAGAACATAGCAATGATTATCGCGCTATATTCTTCTTCCTTGGGGTGATGTCGGTTCTTGGTCTCTTTAACAGGCTCTTCCATTCCTGTCTATCCCTAGTGCTCCACTTCCAATACTTTACACCCAGAACCTCCTTTGTGGCCTTTTCCTCAGCATCCACCATTGGTTAGAAGGAGAAATAAGCTTAATTACCCACTCAACATTGGACCCCAAATATATAAACTGTTAAACCAATTGTATGGTGTTATATGGTGTCCTCTTCTATATCTGTATGCGTTGGTTGCATTTGATGTATACATGATTGGACTGGATCGATTGAATCTTGGTTTTGTTTACATTGACTTCCAAACCTACTGTTCTAGCCACCAATTTAATAGGCTTCTTCATTGCTATTAAGGAACGAGATATAATTACAATGTCGTCGATGTATTCCATGATTTATATTGTTTTATATGCAATTGTGCCATTTTACATTGCTTCATGACAATATTGGATAAAATTGAACACCGATCTTTCAATCCCTGACTACTTATAAAACTATCTGTAAGCTTATTTTGGATTTTAACCCTCAAGTATTATCGTGTTTTCAAGTTACACTTATACTATGGTGGGGTATTTGACACCCCACCATAGTAATTTTACCTTTTTTGCTATTATAATCTTATTTTTTTTAAATTTTAGTTATGGTAGGTTTTAAAGCAATCATATATTTTACACCTTAATTGAGTAAAAGTTGAACTTTAATAAATGTAACATAAAAAAAAGGTATGTTCATAAAAGTCTTCAAAAAGTACAGATATACAAAAAAAAGTGTAAAAATATTAAAATCATGTTTCTTCAAAGTTGTCGTCTGTTTCGAAGTTTTCAAAACTGTTCTTCAGACTTGTAAGAGAAAATTTCATTTACCATTGCACATAAAAATTCTGACAGGCATGTTTTCTCATAACATTTTAAAAATGCTATTTTTCAAATTGAATGCTTTACACTCTATAAATTATACTTTACTTTTCTCAATATGCATAGCATTTAATGGTTGGTTTTGAGTCTTTCATCGTCTTTCAACATGGACGTCCTTTTCCTAGATTAATAGAAAATTCTCTTCGAGTCATTTTGAACGATTCTTCTGCCGAGGCTAATAGAAGGACGTAACTGTTCACACGTGAAATATCTAATAGTGCTCCAAATACCATCTTGTTCTTTGGCACGAATATGTTAAGCACTTCTGATCCAGTGAGTCGACTTTGGTGTTATTATAAAAATTAATTATTTCTGGTTTTCCATTTTGGCAATATAGAACCAACAGAACACCTTTTTTTTCGGCACATATGAAATTAATGTATTATCCCGTGTAAATCCAAACTTACAAGAGTTAACTGATGAATTCTTAGATTGTGTTAGACTCCTTTTAGTTCATCTAACAGCTTTATTGAAATGAACCAATTGTCTCTTGTGACGTTCCTGTTAGTATTTTGAATTGGTGAAACTAACTTTAGTACACTGCGTGCTGGCACTGACAGTTTTCTAGGATTAAGTTCTGTTTTTTTCGCTGTGTATACGAATGAGTTTACCATCTTTTGCATACAGGCTTCTTGTATCTTCATGATTTGATTTGAACACACCAGCTAAAATGAAAAGTCCCAGAAATAAGTCCCTTTCAGTTCAATTATTTCCAAATGTCCTACGTAAGCAGATGTTGGTCTGTAACCAACGCTTGCGTCAGTGATTTTTGTATTTGTGTGTACTAAAATTTCATTCCGAATATCTTCGGCAAACAGAAGAGACCAAGCATCAAAGGGTGTTGTTACCGAAGCACTTGCTGCTGGACCTTTTATTCCTGACAGATGAAAAATTATATTTTACGATCTAGTCCTTGAAGAAGCAGGGGAATTTTTAGACAACTTCTAACGACTGCGACCATAATAGCATGTATGTATGTATGTAGTTTAACGTGAGGGTGATTTTCTTCACAGCCCTTGGGCCCCAGCGGGCCCATTGTACGTCCACACAATTACTGTTCATTCAAGGGTCAGAAAACCAGCCCAATCTTTTCATGAACGTTAATATAGAACAGAAAGATATGTTCCTTATATCCGAAATTTGGAGCCATGGTACTCCGAAAATGGATTCTCTTAAGTACGCGAGGTTGAGACAATCACAAACAATATGACTTACCGTGTCGTCTTTCATTTCACACCCTCTACAGAGGGGTGTATTCGCTAGCTTCATGTAAAACATGTGCTTACGTAACCTTCAGTGTCCGGTCAGGAAGTGGGTGAGAACCCTCAAGTCACTTTTTGATTTTCCCAGAAACTGAGTAGATCTCTTCCGGTCAGGGTAGAGCAGAGTTTTCTTGGCAAAGACAACTGCTGCCGTCCCATCCCATCTGTTGCAAAAAGCTCGATGCTAGATGGAGTTTATCAGTTCTGATGCTGTATTAACAGCTAGTGGTATAAACAGTAGTACGTTCAGCATAGTCTCTATCGCAATCGTAGGTGTAGATCTCATAGCGCCTGTGGCCAGGCGTTGCAGTTGATGCAACAATTTAGCTTTATATGCATGTTTTAGTGCTGAGCACCAAACTATGGCTCCGTGAGCTACCAGTAAATTCCGTCTTATCACAGAAATGTAAATCCACATTGTAACTTTCGGATTTAGTCCCCAAGTATTCCCAATAGCCCTTCGGCACTGGGTCAGTACAATCGTTGCTTTTTTGGTTTTGCAACTAATGTGTGATGTCCAAGTTAGTCGTTTGTCCAAGATAATACCCAGATATTTCACCTCTGGAGCAAAGGTTAATAGATTATTACAGAAATTGGGTGGCGTTAAGTGTCCCAGGTATAATAGTATTGTGGAATAGTTTCACTGTCATCAACTTAACTTTGACTTTCTTCATCTGATTCAGCTTCAAACTCTGAAGACGTTTCGTGATCACCTTGAAATTTATGACATTGGTCATTACAGAAAAGATCTATCTTCTTTGTAATGAAAAGCCATATTCCATTTCCTGTTTTCATTCATCAAAGTTTTTAGATTTAGTATTTATCTGGCCAAATCATCGAAGCAAAACAAAAAATAATCTTTTATGTTAAATGTCCAAAGTTTTTTCCTTATTGTACAATACATACTTTGTTTTCTCACTCAAATATTTAGCAAGCTTTCAAAAAAAGATTAAATATAATCAAATTAGATAACTAAAAACGTCTTTATTTTAATAATCAATAAATTTTCCTCGTCTTTATTTTCTTAAATTGATATCTTTTTAATAAACTAATCAACTTTTATTTTTTGTTTCAGTTTGTGAAGCTATCGGATTTAGAACGTCAAAGTCCAATAGTCGACTTAACAGTTCTTCCGAGGATGACGCGTTCAATTCCGGAAAGTTCTTGGGTAGAAGAACCACTTCTAATGTCAAGATCAATGGGATATAGAAGTGCTCCGAGACCATTACCACCGGAACCCTCAGAAATGTCGGATAGTTCCGGTAGCGATACCGGACAATGTCAAAAACGGTTAGGTACCGATCTTCTTAAAATGTTTTTAGAAGAAATCGGACCGGATGTACACGTTAAAGTCGCCGGAAGAATAATAAAAGCTCACCGCTGCATTTTAGTTTCTCGTTGCCAATATTTCGCAGGTTCTTTAAGCGGTCATCACGAAGATGTTATTAATTTAAGAGGTTTTACGTACGAAGTGGTACATTTCGCGATGTGTCACATTTATAGCGGAGCTTCGCACGTTCCCGATTCGATTTCTTTGGAGGAATTAGCCGCGTTAGCTGATTTATTGGGATTGGAAGGTTTAAAAGAGGTCGTTGCGCATGCTTTGAAAAGTAGACATTGCCATAATTTTCATAAACCGTGTCCGGGATGTTTAACAGGAATACCGGAAGTTTTACCTTTAGCGGCCGCACACGGTTTAGATGAATTATATCAACGTTGTTTACAATGGTTAACTTTGTATTATGAGAGAACTTGGCCTACCCGAGCCTTTGTTTCGATGCCTAAGGAATTACGCGAAAAATGTTTACAACAACATTTAGTTCATATGACGAATGAAAATGTTTTGTCGACGATTTTATCTTGCGATAAATTGTTGGGGAATCTTCCGCAATTATCTTGGTGCGATCCGGTCATACAATTAGGGCTCCAATTAGCTGATGCGTCCCAATTATTCTTGAGGCAACATTTATCAACTGTTCTATCATCTAATTCTTTTACATCTTTAGACAGTGAAATGTTACAAAGATTAGAGGAACAATTTTTAAATGCAGCTGAAGCTATCGGGCCAGAACAAGCGTGTAAGAGTTACGGAAAATGTCACAAAATGCTTGATCAAATTTACAGTAAAGATCATATTGAATTATTACGTAAATTAGATAAGCAATTAGAACAATCGTTAGCTGCGCGAGCTGATAAAGCAACGCGATGCCCCGCTTGGCAACGTTTAGAACCGGCTTTAAGAGCAAGAGTGCGCGAAGCCGCTCGTCCTAGTCGATTACCAAGAGCTTCATCGTCGGACTCCTCGAGAACATCAAGCCCCGCCACAAGTAGAGCTCCAGCGGGAAGCCCTTCTTTAAGAAGAAGCCTTTTATTAGCAGCTAGAGCACCTCAAATCCCTCCAAGTCCATCAACAACGCGAAGAAATAATTCATCATTAACCAGACCCACTCAAAGTAGCGCCGCCAAAAGCGCACCATCAAAAAATATTAAACAAAGTATTGTTAAATCACCCACAACCAAACAACAATCGTTTCAAAAAAATTCAATCAAAATAGAATCAAACAAAGCTAAAGAATTAAATAAAAAAGAATTACAAACCGTTAAAAGAGAACCATTTAAACGAGAACCCGTCAAAGCTAAACCAATCCAAACAAGAACGCCCACAGTAACCAGAAGAGTTTTAAAGGATGAAAATAAAGAAATTAAATCACCGAATAGATCGCCGTTAAATATTTCAAAATCGCCCTCAAAAACAAACGTTTTAAAATCAACAAAAATTAATAATAATGTAAGATCGCCGTCGAAAACGACGTGCAGATCACCGATTAAAACAAGTAAACCTTCATCAAAAGTTGCTTCGCCATCTAAACCGATATCAAAATCTCCAAGTAAGCCCGTTCAAAGCGGTATGACTAGATCGGGAACGTTTTTAATGGACGAACCAACCGTTTTGGGACGTCAACACTAGTCCTTTTTGTGTCCCCCTTTTTTTATTTAATTAAGTTTTAAAATGTTTCCTAGTCAAGAAAAAAAAATTAATAAAAGAAAAATGGGAATTATACTCCCAGTTTTACCCAATATTTGGGAAGGTTTTTGTGATATGTTATTTAGAGATTATGTAAAATGAAGTTTAATTATTTAAATAATAATAATAATAACAAAATAATGATATTTGAGATTGTCATTTGAAAATAAAAAGAAATATATATATATGAAATTGAAAGAAATAAATTAAATTATAAATAGAAATGAATTTGGTTTTAATTTTTTTTTAATATAGTAAAAAGTAATGATGGAACGACGGGTGTACGGCCATTTTTTTAAATCCGACCGGATAATTGCCAAATATTCGACTTTGGCTAAATGTTAAAAATCTATTACTTAGTACTCCACCATTCACAGGGATTAGTATCTCTTTTAGGTGTTGGACACTGCAGATAATAATCAAGTTCAACCCCAATAGAACTTATTTCATTAAATACAACTTTATTTATATCAGGTTTGTCTTTAGCAACCTCTTGTTACACTTTCGTCTAGTTTCCTTCTCTTCGCTTGTAATTCATCACCACACTCATTACTAACAGAACTGCCGCTGTTATCACTTTCGATTATTAATTAAAGTATCCTCTTCTTAATGTAAAAAGCCGTTTTGAAAAATCACTTTCAGTTCTTAGAAATAAATTTTTGAAATAATCGATCAAATTTTGCAATTTTCGCCGATTAAGTTTTAAAAATTCGTATAAAATCCAATTCTTGGAATATGAGTATGAAAATTACCCAAAGTGTTAATAAAAGTGTCCTCTTTCCAATGAACCAACCCGTTTTGAAAAATAACTTTTAGTTTTTGAGAAAACAATATTTGAAGTTTTGATAAAATTTTCGATGTTGCAATTTTCATCGATAATTTTCAAAATTCGCTATAAAATTAATTTCTTGAAGGATCCTTGTGGAAATATCACCAATTATTAATTAAAGTATCCTCTTTTTAATGCAAAAAGCCGTTTTGAAAAATCACTTTTAGTTCTTGAGAAATAAATTTTTGAAATGATCGACAATTTTTTCGAATTTTGCAATTTTCGCCGATTAAGTTTTAAAAATTCGTATAAAATCCATTTCTTGGAATATGAGTATGAAAATTTCCCAAAGTGTTAATAAAAGTGTCCTCTCTCCAATGAACCAACCCGTTTTGAAAAATAACTTTTAGTTTTTGAGAAAACAATATTTGAAGTTTTGATAAAATTTTCGATTTTACAATTTTCATCGATAACTTACAAAATTCGCTATAAAATTAATTTCTTGAAGGATCCTTATGGAAATACCAAAAACTATTAATTAAAGTATTCTCTTTTTAATGCAAAAAGCCATTTTGAAAAATCACTTTTAGTTCTTGAGAAATAAATTTTTAAAATAATCGATCAAATTTTGCAATTTTCGCCGATTAAGTTTTAAAAATTCGTAAAAAATCCAGTTTTTGGAATATGAGTATGAATATTTTCCAAAGTGTTAATAAAAGTGTCCTCTTTCCAATGAACCAACCCGTTTTGAAAAATAACTTTTAGTTTTTGTAAAAGCTATATTTAAAGTTTTGATAAAATTTTCGATGTTGCAATTTTCATCGATAACTTTCAAAATTCGCTATAAAATTAATTTCTTGAAGGATCCTTATGGAAATACCAAAAATTATCAATTAAAGTATCCTCTTTTTAGAGTTGCTTCGTTGGTTAAATCAGCATCAAAAAAGTTCATTTTGTATCTTGGATTGTTATTCAAATATCGCAATAATGTGGCACTTCAGAAATATTCCAGAAATTATAACCATAATGGTGGGATAGATATGCCGGATAACCGGATATCCGGCCGAAGGGGATGCCGAATATCCGGTATCTGGCTTTTCGCAAAATCACTATCACTAATTGCAACCTTTTTAAACAATACATAACCACTCTGGTTATGTAGGCATTACATGCTTTACAGCAGATAAATATCTTTACACACGCCCCTGTTTACAATATCAATTGATATCGTGCGATTTGTGAATATTGCTCAATTTTCTATACTCTTGAAATAAAGGGAGAAAGACTACAGTTAAGTATTTTATGATTGTTGTCGAAATAAAGAAATAAAAAACATGATTCTCTCTCGAAAAATTAACTAAAAGCCATAAAAATGATATCAAATTTAAAAGCATAAATTGATAGATAAAAAATATTTTTTAAAACGGATACCTTTACCGAAAAATGTAACATAAAAATGCTATAATTAAGGTTATTTTGGAATTATAAAATGTTGAATAAATTTATCAACAAGAAAGTAGGTTCCAATAAATTCTGAAAAACACATATACTTGAACCATATTGACATTTTAAAATAAAATAATAGAACCGATTAATTAACAATTTATTGAAATCAAAGTATTTGTTTTCAAAGCGTGCGAGTTTATCGCGTACTTTAAAAAATACGGTTCTTGTTATTTCCGTCGCAAACGACTCGTATAAATTCTTAAAGTTTTTTTTTATTGTCGACTAGTCGTAAAGATTAAACGTACCTTTTGAATTGTTCAAATAAGGAATAAAGTAAATTAGAAAACTTCCTTCGCCGATAAGAAAAAGCAAAACACGTAGAAAAATATCGTTAGATTAAAAAAAAAGAGATTTTCTTCTCGTTCATCTTGTTCGAGATGAAAAGAAAGAAGACTTTCACGCGGTTTCTTTTTTTAAATCGACTCGTGTTTTAATTGTAACAACGCCCGAAGACATAAAAGAAAGTCACTTCTTCTTTCTTGTTTAAGAAACGATCTAAATCCGATCTTTTATTATCATCATACATTATTTATCTTGAGTGTTAAAAAAAGAATTAACATTTCCTTTTTAAGACGAACTCGATGAGGATGTTGTACGTGACCTCTTCAATACGTACCATAAATATTTCATTACTTCTTTGTGTCAACAACGTTGTTTTAGTACTTGTTAAATATTACGAATAATTAATTTATAGGTTGCGTTTAAATGTTACTTAATTTTTCTTTGTTGTATTTAATACATCAGTATATTTAAATATACATAAATGTTATCGCTTATAAATAGAATCCAACTCGAGTTATTCCCCAAGTTGCACTATTCTTGTTCTAGTTTTAATTGTTGTATATTTTTATTGAACTAAAAGTAGAACTAACACTAGACCTACAACTAGAAACATTCGGGCGTCTCTTAAGACGGCTAAACCCGAATGATTCTAGTTCTAGTGTTAGCCCTTTCTTCCCTGTTTTAATCCATGATATCGAGGTTTTTACTAGTTATGGAACGGATAGTGATTTTGCGAAAAGCCGGATACCGGATATTCGGCATCCCCTTCGGCCGAATATCCGGCTTATCTATCCGACCATTATAATTTCTGGTACATTTCTGAAGTGCTACGCTACATTAACATATTATTGCGATATTTGAATAAAAATGAAATTAATAAGAAAGCGGATAAGATATGTCAACTTATTTGGATCCAAGATACAAAATGAACTTTTTTGATGCTGATTTAATTAACGAAGCAACTCTAAAAAGGAACTCCAGAAGGATCCTTCATGAAATTAATTTTACAGCGAATTTTGAAAATTATAGATGAAAATTTTATCAAAACTTCAAATATTGTGTTCTCAAAAACTAAAAGCTATTTTTCAAAATGGGTTGGTTCATTGGAAAGAGGACACTTTTATTAACACTTTGAGAAATTTTTATACTCATATTTCAAGAAATGGATTTTATACGAATTTTTAAAACTTAATCGGCGAAAATTGCAAAATTCGAAAAAATTGTCGATCATTTCAAAAATTTATTTCTCAAGAACTGAAAGTGATTTTTCAAAACGGCTTTTTGCATTAAAAAGAGGATACTTTAATTAATAATTGGTGATATTTCCACAAGGATCCTTCAAGAAATGAATTTTATAGCGAATTTTGAAAGTTATCGATGAAAATTGCAACATCGAAAATTTTATCAAAACTTCAAATATTATTTTCTCTTCTTTGGTTGCAAACATTGGTAATAAAAGTATTTTCAATGTGTAATATTTCAGATAAAAGTCCTGGGAGGGCCTTCAGTAATCTTATAGTAGTTGTGATCAAAAGAGCAGTAGTTCTGTGTAACAACATGTTTCAAAATTGTATTCAAATGCATCACCATAGTATTGTTGTTAAAAATTTTTCAAAAATATGTGATGTTAAGTGAAGCGTATATTCTATAGGAATATTCAAAGGAAATAAGGACTTTATTGTTAAGTTCACAATTCCTGGTAGGTATTTTGAATGAATTGTAGTGAATCAAATTTAGGGTGGAACTCAATAAGCTTGAAAACGTTGAACATAAAATTAACTAACTTTGAAGTAGAAGCTTTACTAAAGGAAATAATAGGTATCGGTATGCCTTCTTTATGAATTTTGGGTGAATTTACATTACTTATTTTACTACATTGTACGCTTCTGTAGTTTATGTAAATTATTTAATAAGAAACTTTCACAACCAAATGTTACTGAAGTCGTGTGATTTATTTTTAATGTTATGACAGTAAGTTGTAAATATATTACTTTTTCTACTTATTTTATATTCGAATATATGTCATATGATATGTTTTTTAACGTAGATTCGGCTGATGAAGAGTAGAACACTGTTCGAAACCGGTTCCGAATAAATATATTATTTTAAAGCAAGTAAGAAGTTTTTTTACAAGTTCTTTTGAAACATTGAAATTGAAACTTGCGACACAGATCATAAATATAGGAAGAAAGAACGGGACAAGATTGACTAGTGAAAAGGACCAAGGATAAATCGACGCTAGATAAACGAAGTCTAGGACGACCAAGGAAATAATTGAGAGACAATTTGCGCACAGAATAAGTTTTAATGTTCTTTTTGAAACTACAAGGCTGAATCGAAAACCGCAAGACTCTATCGCTACCGAAATTCATTACATAACAAAGTCACATTCACTATTTTCAATATTTTTGATTATAATGAAATAAAATAATTTCGCAAACAGGTTTTCTTTCATTTCTCAAATTCTACAGTTCACATTTTTATATATTGACTTTTTTGATCCATTCGAAACCAATAGTTGGAATTATTCAGAAAAAATTATACTCAATATAAGCCTATAGTATTATTAAAAATTTCATGAGTCTAAAAAATATTTATGAAAGTAATAAATCTTAATTGAATTTAAACCTTGATATTAAGATCGATAATTTTAATTGAATGCTCAAAAAAAATCAACGAATTGGTAAAAAAACACTTAAAAATTTATTGATGTAATCTTAACCGTAAGAAATTGATTAAAATCTAATTTATTTGGAAGGAAAGAATCCGATGAAATCTTTTAATAGATCGTAACTTATTTGATTGTGACTCATCGTTTCGATAAAGTTCTTCCGTTTCATATCCAAAAAAGCGTTAGCCTTCCCTTCAATTGGATATGGTTGTTATTTTTATGGACAGGGTTATTGTTCTCCTTTTTAAACAATCATTATAAGCAATGAATAATAATTTCATAGCTACCATAAAAATAAATGGTACACAAAAAACATTTTTAGATTATTTACTTAACGTATTTTACAGACTGTCGTGACAAATAAACGCTTTGGAATCAAACAGTCTTCACTTCGTTCTTAAATAGACTTTAACCTTGTCTCATTTTTTTCTGAATTTCAAGGTCTCATTGCTCAGCTATTAAAAGCAAGACATATGACCCACTTGTAAAACTAAGTCTGTAAGATATTTATTCGTCTTAAAAAGAAAATTTATTTGGTAATTGTATTTAGAAAAAGAAATTACAAGACATTTTTAACATCAACCCCACCACTTATTAATAATCTTCGCTCTGGTTCATCTTTTAAGCCTAATTCGATACGACTAATCTTCCATGGTTTATCAATTCCTTCACGATCAGCCCAAAAATAAACTGTCCCTCGTTGCTTAGTACCACTAACCGGTACTTCATATTGTGCTGCAAGATCTTTGGTGTAATTTTTCTCTGTATTCCCAATATCAACTAATTTATCTTTTATAGGTTCTCCTAATAATTCAACAGCTCCTTTATGGGCACGTACAATTTTAAAGGTGGCTCTATACGGTTCAAATTCGCACACTCTCTTATTCACTTGCCATCGATATGCTAAACCCATCGTAACTGTTAAAATTCCACCAACCGAAGCCAATTTTACCAATGCCATATTACTCGGAAACATTTTTATGCTAAAAATAAAACAATTAATTAAAAAAAAATTTAATATTTATTATTTTAAATCGCAAAATCCACTTTAACAAAATCATAACCTAAAAATGTATTTACATAACCTAAAAATAACAAAAATGATATTTTTACCTATAATTACGAATTAAATTTACTCGAAGATTATGTAATACCGCTTAAATCAATTTTTGTTATGTAAAGAAAATTATATTACTTTTAAAATACCTTTTTATAATTTACAAACGACTTGTATTGCTTAACCTCAAAATTTATTTACATAACCTCAAAATAAAAACGAAAGTGTTCATTTTAACGACTTCGAAAGTGTTTAAATGGATGGAATATTAGCTTTGGGGCATTTTTGTGAATCCCACGGACCCTGTGTAATTTTGTGTACGCAAAAAGCGGAAAACCCTCCCAAAAATCAAGCTCCTCACGCTTTAACTGTACCTTGGTGCGATTCTTGCCAATCAATCTTTTTAAATCAAGCACTTGTTAGTAAAAATGAGAAAGGATATTATGTAACGACCCGAACACCTTTACAACAAGATTTAGCCTTTCTTCTAAAACAAGCTGTTGTTCGTAGTTTAAGTTGTGAAGAAGAAACGAGTGGAGAAGGATCTCCTATTTATTTTGGGGACCACGAACGTGGACACGTTTTAGCGCGGACTTTTACACTTCAAGATTCTTTAGCAAGAGGGTTTTATCGTAAATATACTATTTTAATGTTAATGAGAGACAAAGTACATTTATTGAATGTTTGGCCGGTTCTTGTGAAACATATAAAAGAGATTGTGAGGGATTTAAAAAAAGATGCTGCTAAAATAAATGATGCTGAACAAGAAAAGAGGCCTCAAAGGGCTGTTAGGCAAGCTCAAGGATCTCCGAGTACAACAGGAAGATCTTTATCTGAATTAACAGGTCGCCCAGCAGTTTTTGCACATTTACACTTGTGGTTTGCTTGGTTATTAAGTGGATCTTTAGCTGAGGAAAGAAGGAAGACGCCTTTAAGTATTCCTAATGTGTCTCCTTCACCATTATTAAGAAGTTATTTAAAAAATTTAGGAGATGAAACTTTTAAGGTTGGTTTATATTGTGTTTTAACCGGCATAAACTTAATTACAGAATCATCACTCTTGGATGCTTTCAAAAGTTTATTACCGTGTGAATTTTTGGTAAGCAGTAATCAATATTGTAGTATAATAAAAAGTGATGAAAAATACGAAGTGAAATGGGATGAAGAATTACCTAATAAATTACCAACTTTAATTATGAACATTATGAAATCTTTGGATAATAAACATTTACCTGATTCAGTTTTAAAGACACAATTAAATTGTTTAATTGTACAGTGGAGGAATATTGTTAATACTTTAGCAAGACCTCCAAATATTAATTTAGAATTTTTACAATCGTTGGGAATACAAAAGTTTGATCTTCCACTTTTATTGTTTTGGATTACAGGGTTATGCAATGAAAATAAAGCTATTGTATTAAAGGAACAATTAAATAAGTATTTAGGTTGTAATAAATGATATTATAAATGATTATATGTAAAAAAAATGTAAAAGACAAATTGGCAACTCTTTTTTTAAATATTAAAAGATGAAATTGTGATTTTAAGTTCTATTAAGTTATCTATTATTTAAATAAAATACTGGTACATAAACATATTTATTGAAATGCATTATTATAGAGCTCATTTGCAATTGATTAAGCCAAATATGTCTTATACAAAGTTCAATAGTTTAGGAATTATTTCAATTTTTTGTTTTTTGTACATTTTCAGTATATACTCAAATATTAATACAAATATTGGAATTTAGAGTTTAATAATAGTTTCTTTGGCAACATATTAGATAGACTACACTTTAATACACATTTTAAGTTGAAAAATATTGTCAATATTTCGATTGTTTAAAAATACTGGATAAAAATGTTTTGTGACTTAAGATAATTTTTAAACAAATTAATTTTTTATGAGCGTCTGATATATAGTAGAATCCTACTAGACTATTTAGTCTTGGTAAAAACTGATCATACCTCCTTCAATGTTTGTAAAAAAAATTTAATTCTGTTCAAAAAGTGCTATTTTTCATGATTGAAACTGATTATTAAACACTTAATTAATTTCTGGTCAAAGAGAGCTATATTTCATATTAGTGTCGGTTAGGAAGATAAGTTCTGTTCAAAAAAGACTATTTCCTTGATTTCTATGCGGTATTCGTTACGTATTTTCCATTCAAGTTGTCAACAAAACACAGCTTTTATTATACTCTATGACAAGTGTTAAGATACTATTATCTGTGGTGTCAAGTTTCTCCCGCGCGGATATTTCGTCGATTAGTTTATCGATTTTAACAAATTCATTCAAAAATTCTATAAAACCCGACCGAAACTTGGATGCACGTGCCCTAAATAGTGGTGTAAGACAGAAAATACGAAAAGATATCTATCTACCTATCGTAAAAAGTAAGTGCCTTTGGTACTCTTATTTTTTTGTGTACGAATATTGTGTTTTAAGTTGGTTTCCGCATATGATTTCATTTTATTTTTCAGAAAATATACAAGCAATGACCCTCTTTATATCAACTTCTACGCTACATGCAAGCATAGATTCAAAAATTCAAGAACAGGAAACGTTTAAAATTACGACAGTCGAACAAGACATCTTTTTAGCAAGGCTTTTGGGCCCTTCAGAACCCCAATCTAGGAAATTTAGGCCTAGGTCCTGTACAAGAACTAAAGAAGTAATAAAATGTCAAGGCACGAAGATGCAAAGAGTTTTCAATGTTTCAAGAAAAAGGCTCCAACATTTGAATGAAGTATTGATACAAGGTAGAATACCTAAAGAAAAACGCGGTGGTGATAGGAAGTCAAATAAAACAGAGGATAAAAAAGGGACAGTCTCAGAAAGTTTTTGAATAATCTACCAGCCAGTGAAAACCACTACAACCGAAACAAAAGCAAACGCATATATTTATCTTCAGAATTAAATTAAAAAAAAACAAAGACAATATTATTGTGATTTGGTCACAGCTGATCTCAGAGTTTCATGCACAATGTTTTATGAAATTTTTTACAAAGAATACAACATTAGTTTTAAAACTCCTGCATTAGATGTCTGTGGTACTTGAATTCTTTGGAAAAATTTTTATAAAACTTGAAAAAAATCCTGAAAAAAACAACAATTAATGGTGAAGAAAAAGATTCACTCTATGAGGGCCAATGCATTTTATGCTATGGTTCGTCAGGATGTGCCTGACAGTATAAGTTTGTGTTTTGATATGGAAAAAGTGCAACCGTTACAAAAAAAAACCCTATACAAGATGCATACCATTCTAAAGAAATAAGTTTATACATGTGTCTCACGTAACTGGTTCGTTAAAACTTTTTCAGTTTCCACTATTCGTTGAGATTTGAAATTTTGGTAGCATGGGTTGTTCATTCGGAACATTCGATCTAAAATATATTCAAGATGGCCGCCACTTCCGATCTATCGGAAGTAGACCATAACTTCGTTATTTTAAATGGAATGCTATAGTTTTTATTACACCGTTTAATTCTACGTAAAAAATAGGTTGACTTTGATAGCAGTTATTGGTACCTAGCATTTTTCGTTTTCGCGTTATTTTGGTTTTAAGCTTTTTTTGGTAAATTTCAATATGCTCTTTAAATCATCTCTCAGCCAAGGTTCATTCAAAGAAGATCTACATTGGCAGGATTACTGTTCAGATGCTGTCAAATAGGTCAAAAATTGAATTACTGTTTCTCCATATTCAATGGCGAGAAAATTGAAAATTTTAAATAGAACGCCCCATATTTGTTTAGCCTATCAGAAAGGGAATGTAATTCTCTACAAATTATCTATCAACATTTTTATATTTTTATACCTATTTATTGTAGTTTGCCTCATATTGGGAAATTTATTAAAACGTGCACGAAATGCTGGCTTTTTTATTAGAAAGGTATGGCCTCTAATAAAAAAAAAACGGTTTCCTGCATTTTCTGTATGTTTTGATAAATTTCCCAATATGAGAGAAACTACAATAAATAGGTATAGGAATGTTTATAGATAAATAGTAGAGAAAAAAAATTTTAGATTTTCTCGCCATTGAATCGTTCGAATATTAGTTTAGAATGGCGCAAGTTTTGTATAAGTTTTTTTATATATCACCGCTAGATTTAGTTAATGAAAATACGGCTAGTGAACACTATTTAAAGAAAGAGACCTATAATATAAAGAATTTAACGTTTTACGTAGATCAAATCATAACCTATAAGGTTTGATCGCGATTCCCGCTAAATTTGGCTGTTTTTCTCCTGCAATCATATAAAATTATGTAGTTTACGTTTGTGTGATGTGAGATAACATGGAAAGAAAAATGTTAAAGCTGAATATCTCTAGGAGACATTTTCATAGATTGGTAAACGTATTTACATTTCAGAAATAATTCAAAACCGTTAATGAAACATTTTAGTAATGTACCGTAATTGTCACCCGTATGTTGCAAAAACGTTTCAATGAAATATTACAAGGGCCAGACATTAGCAGTTTCAGACACGTTTCAACTATGTTTCAGAAATATGTCGAAGAAACATTTCATGTTTCAATAATATGTATCTGAAACGCAAATTTGTTTATTGGGACGTGAGACAACCTGTATAAGTTATGTGTTGTAACATTGAATTCAAAAAATCACACATTCTTTACATGGTTAGAAACACAATATGGAAGAGGGTCAGTTGAAGTAGGATCTGCATTATTCAACTATTTAAAGGACTTGGAAATATCTACAAATGTAAAAACTATATGATTGTTTTGTGATGGTTGTGGTGGGGGCAGAACAAAAATAGTCATATTATTCATATCCTAATACATTCTAAACAAATGACCCTCCAACATAAAAGAAATAACATTAACATTGGTTTTTGGCAGATTAGAGAAAGATATCAAGAAACACACTTCCTGAACCATATTATGAAATTTATAGAAAACATTTGACATTGAAAGTTTTGAAAGAAAACTGGGCTCTGTATGATATCTAAGATCTTGAACAATATTATAAGAAAGTACTAGATATCCGTTCAGTAAAAAGAATTATTTTAAAAAAATCTCGACGATCTGGTTGCAATATTTACACCCACGACACATCGTTTAGAAGCAAATAAAGTGCCAATTAATCTTCTAAAGCGAGGTAAGCGCCATTGCCAAACTATTGCACAATGAGACCTCAAGGTATAAACGGGAAGAAAAAGAAAATGTAGCTAATTTACTCGTCAATCAGAATATAAGTAAATGTTCATGTCTGTTTTTTTTGTTTACCCTTAACCTATCCTTTTTCCTCTATGCATTCATAATAAAAAATTGCTGTATATCCAATGTTCTGTTCATAAGGTGCTATTTCCATTTTTTAATGTTAATTATTTATTTATTATCTTTAGTATGGAAATAACCCCTTTTCAACAGACGCTCCTCAATTATAATCTAACAATTATACAAATATTTTACATTTAGCCAGTGGTAGCAGGACATTTCATCTCTTATTAGTAGCCATAGAATGTTGAGAGTGTTTTAGTTAATATTGTTTGTTTTTATTTGAATTTAATTTTTGCGTAAAATGTCATCGGTTACAAGTGTTGCGTATACTGACGTATTATACATTTATGGTTTCTGTGGCGGAAACGCGGCAGCAGCTCGTCGAGAGTACCAGGAGCGGTATCCAAATAGACGGATCCCTCAGGTTAACGTAGAGACTGGTAATTTAAAAAAAAGCCGAATTTAAAAAAAGCCGCACGTATTGGACCTACTCGTCTTAATGCAGAAGATGAAGTTTTGGATGCATTCGAAGAAGCATCGACACCCAGTACAAGAAACGTAGCCACTAATCTGGGGATGTCACAATGGAAGCTATGGTCAACTCTTCGACAAACGGGCAACCATCCATGCCACTATACTCCTGTCCAAGCAGTTGAAGAAGACGTGCCGTATTGTTTTAAATGCTGACAGTGAAGATGGATATTTCTTGAAAGAATTTTGTGGGCATTAAACTAAAACTAGAACTAACACTAGCACTATCACAAGAACTAACACTAGACCTAGAACTAGAATCTTTCGGGTTAACTCGTGCGTTTTTTGAAAAAATGTTTGACGTTTCGGATGCCATGTTGCAACTTCGAATTTGTTTCTGAAGAAGGTTGCAACATGGCATCCGAAACGTCAAACATTTTTTCAAAAAACGCACGGCTTAACCCGAAAGATTCTAGTTCTAGGTTTAGTGTTAGTTCTTGTGATAGTGTTAGTTCTAGTTTTAGTGTAATTAATATCGGCCGTGAAAGCCTTCGTACTTATAAGGTATAACAAATCTTCATAATTTACATTATTGGACGGACAAAAATCAAAAGTTGCTCAAATTCAAAGAAAATGTTGCATAAACGTGTGGATTGGGCTTATTAGAAATAATTTAATTGGTGCTTATTTTTTACCGGATCGTTTAACTAGCGCAGCATGAATTTTTACATAACAATTTAATAGTCCTGCTTGACCATATACCTTTAGAAAACAGATGTAATATGGTCCAGCATGATGGATGCCCTGCACACTATTCCAAAAGTGTTCGAAATTTATTAAATGAAATGTTTCCTAATCACTGGATCCTTAATCCTTGATTTTTATGAGTGGGGCCACATGAAAGAAAGAGTGTATGCTACACAAGTCAACTTTAAGGATGAATGAATAGAAAAAATCCAAAACGAAGCATATGTTTCAAAAACATTAATTACAAGTAAGATAACAAGATTCAAAATCAGGAAAAGAGCTCATACATGTATTTGGAATAGAGATGTATAGGACTTGTAGTTATGAGTTATTTCTAGACAGAATTAAACAATGCGTTACTTACCTTTGGTTACTTGTTTTTGTTGATGTGATACATAAAATTGCTTAATTTTTATGGTTTTTTCAAGGAAGGTTATTATTAACCTTTTGCTTAACGTTTACCAGCTATTAAAATTGTATTCACTCCAATTGTTATCATATAAATTATTTCTTTAGTCAATGATTAATAGCTACCTATTAATGAATTGAATGTCAACCCCAGAATTTATTGTAATCAGGAATCAACGGTTTTAGTTTCTATTCGCAAAAATAAATAGTTGTAATTGATTGAGAATTTTTTTAACTTTGGGTAAGTTGTCAAAATTATACATTCGCCAATGCTTATCTTATTAGCTAATTGGAAAGACATTTATACCTGCTTAATATATCATTTGAAAGGTTATAAAACAGAGAAGTTAAAAATACACGCTCATAAAAAATTAGCTTGTTTAAAAATTAACTTAAGTCAGGAAACATTTTTTCCCTGTATTTTTAAACAAGAGCAGTCTATCCAGAGAAGTCAATATGTTGCCAAAGAAACTATTATTAAACTCTAAATGCCAATATTTGTAGGAGTTTATACTAAAAATTTACAAAAAGCAAAAATTCCTAAACTATTCAACTTTGTATAATGCATATTTAACTTAATCAATTGTAAATGAGCTCTATAATAATGCATTTCAATAAATACATTTATGTGCCAGTCACCCTGTATAATAAAGTGGAAATAAAGAACAAAATTATTCGTTTGTATTTTTTTATTTTAACATTATAAATTCTTTTTCTTTTTAAGTTTCTTTCCTCCATCTGTACTAAATCCAACCTTTTTCTTCTTCTTTATTGGTTCATTATCTTCCAATTCAACACCTTTCTCAACAACAACTTCAACTTTAGCTTTTTTTATAATTTTCTTTTCCTTTACTTCTTTTACAACCTCAACATTTTCAGTTTCAACTTCATCTTTAATTTCACCCGGTATAATAACCAAACAAGTATGCCTACATCCAGTTGAACATTTTACAATCTCATCAAGATCAACATCAAAAATTTTAATTTCCCCATTACTCGAACAAGTAACAATATATCCATTTTGAGTATCTAAGGATTTAACTCGCGAATTATGTGCTTGAATAACTTTAATTTCATCTCCTTCAGCACTAAATTTAGCTAATTCGCCATTTTCAAATCCCACTAACAAAGTGTTTTCATCAAAAAATAAGGCATGAGTCACTTTATTTTTGTGTTCGATATTATGTTTTATCCCACCACTTTCAATACTCCAAATGTCGCTTGTATTACCTCCACATAAGATAAAATCAACTCCATTTGGGGACCAATTTATACTTTGCATTAACTTGGCTTGTTTATATTTACTATTTAAATTTATTGCGTAAGCTTGTCGACCTTTTATTAAATTCCAAGTTCTTATTGAACCATCGGCTCCTAATGTTAAAGCTAACTTTCCTGTTGAATGAATTGCAATATCGATTATTGCAGCTCCTTTATGTGCTTTTTCCCACACCTTTTCAACTTGCCAATTTCCTACTCTTGTAATTGATAACATCCCATCAGCACTACCACTCATCAAGTGAGTGTGTTGAGGGGTAAATTTAACACAATTTACTGTTGCATTATGATGTGTTAACATACAATGTTCTTTTCTTGTTTTTAAATCATAAATTACTATCCGATCATCCGCTCCTCCTGATGCTAAGTAAGGATTTGAGAAACTCACACAACGTAAACTACTCGAGTGCGTGTGGGACGCAAAACTTTGAACTAATTCTTGTGACTAAAAAAAAAAGAAATTATTTAAGTTTTTTTAAGTTATTGAGTTGCTTACTTTTGGGTTAAATTTATAACCGATTAAAAATTCTTCGTATGTGCCTAAAATTACTTCGAAAAGAGCTGTTTTAACCATTTTTGTTATTATTATAACAATTATAACCACGTGAAAGGTTATGTACTTTATTTTTGTTGGTTATGTTTTTAAATATATGTCAAAATTGTCAGTGTCTTCTTTATCGATATCGTTCGATTTTTTTTTTATAAATATTAAAACGTAATAAATAATTTATAATTTTTGGCTATTTTAATTGTTTTTATTAAAGATAACGTATATAAAACAAAAATATGTGCTAAGTATTTTTAATTAATTTGATTTTTATAATATTTGCAGTGCCATCTATTATCAGCTATAATATACTATGATTTTAGGTTATGTTTTCTAAGAATTTTCACTGAAGTAATATCAAGATTATTATTAATTTTGAGTAAAAAATAAATTAAATGACCGCCTGCAGAGGTTGTATGGGTAAAAATGAGCGGATGGAATCCGTTTTTGGCGCAGTTCAAGAATATAATATCACGTTAAGCGAAATGTTTACTGATTGCACTTCATTGGGGGTAAATTCCAATTTATAATTTACGTTTTGATTAATTCTGTATTGTAGGTAACAAAAAACGACGGTTTACCAGAATATTTATGCGATATCTGTGTTAATAAAGTACAGGAATGGTTTGAATTTAAACAAATGTGCTTGAAATCTGATGAAACATTCCGTGAAGATTTAGCTAAAAACTTTGTTAACGAAATTCAAGTAGATCTAACATGGAGTGAAAGCGGAGGGGATAGTATTGAATTTGAAGTTGAAAATGAACAAGAGGAGGAAGTTAAAAAGAGAAAATTGCAAAGTGGTAAAGAAAAAGGGAAAAAGAAGAGGACAAAAAGCAATAATAGTAAAAATGAAATAAATGATAATGAAAATGACGAAAAAGTCGATGATGAAGATAATGTAAACGATGAGAATCCAATAAGTGATCATACTTATGCTTCTGTAAGGATATAACCTGTAAGGATATAACCTAAATTAATTTAACATGTTCGCTAACGCGCCTTCTACAGTAGTTTTTTCTCATGTACCATTTGTAGTTTCTTTGATTTCGAAATTCAGGTTTATGTTATTTACATGTTTTTGCTAAATTTTTATGAAAAAAGACCTAGTCTACCAACGTCTAGTCAACTGGACACATCTGAATTTCTTCAAAGGCTCTATTTTCTTTTTCTAAATATGATATAATGAGCTATACAAACCAAAATGAATATTACAGCACCCATAGTATTACAAAACATAATTATTGTGTACTGTGCCAAATTCTGAAGCATGGATCTACACATAAACCCGGGTTTTCTGAATATATCAGGCAGTTGTATCTCGATTTCTTCTAAACTCCACCTCTGCTATATTGGCGAAACCTTTTCATTGCGGATTTATCTTTCTGTGTGGAGGGAACTGCCTCCAGATAATGGAATTCTGTTTGTTGGTCTAGTATATCCATCATTGATCTGTAGAATATCCTCTATAACTTCATCTCTGAACCTCAAGAGGTCAATTTTGGTTGTAACTATTTCCTTCTTATGTAATAGGCATTCCACATTGCAATAATAAATATATAATAAATATATAAGATAAAAGAACACTTTTCTGTACCATCTTATGGTTTTCCTTGGCGATGGGTAGTATGCCATTAAAGATGTGTAATACTGGGCTGCGCGGCGCGATTTAGTTAACTCAGTACAGTGTGTTACGTGCGCTGATACCCAACTTTAAAATGTGTCAATTCAATTGCGCCACCGTTGGCGTAGTAGCGCACGCTGGTGTCGCTTAATACTAGTAAGCCACTATTTCGCTAAAACATATATTTTACTTTTTTGCTTTGAAAACATGATTCGGGTACCAATATTGAATATGTAAATATATCTGTACTATTTTTCAATATTGTATAACAAAATATGGTAACTTTAATAACTTACTTTAGATATATTGCAATAATACAAAAAAAATGAACACTAATTTAACTACAATATTCCGCATAAACTCAGCGCTGCGCTCCGTGTTGCTTGCAATAACATTTAATAGGCCCCATACACCTGCAAACAAATTACGCAAACTGACGTGGTTATTGTGCAAACAAAGTTACCCATACACTGTACACAATTTTATACAACCTTCAATTGCTTGTGTTGTGTACGCATGGAAACATGCCGCCTGACGAAGCAGCCTATTTAGCTATAAAATTGGTATTGCGTGGGAAGATGGTGTTAGAAAAAGAAAGTAGAGAGTATGGATGAAAGAGTGGTTAAAGAAAAGATCACTTTAGCCACGCAAATCTTCACAAAGAACTTAAGTTGAGTTCACCATTAGACTATAAAAATTATTTACGAATGGATCACACTACTTTTGGTGAATTATTGGTCATGGTAACACTACTTATACAAAAACAAGACACAATATCACCACCTTCTACTAACACACGCGAAACTGTGGTTATTGCACGATGTGTCACACAAACCCCATACACAATGTTTGCATTGTGTATGGGATTTTGAATTTCCGCAACCAGTTGCGGAACGCATCCACCAACATCATACAGTACTATCATCATATTTTTGGTCAAGGTACTTGTGGTCTTCCGTTGTACACGTCATTTCCGGACATTCTGTATATGAGAGGTTGTTTAAGTTCCTATGCTGCAATACTATGATTTTAGTTTGTGTGCGAGGGGAAAGAGTGGGAGTGTTTCGTGACGTAAGTGACAGTGAATTGCGCGCGCAATCTCAAGGTCATGTTTAGTGAGAGTTGAAGTGTCTGTCTTCACTAGTGTAACATAAATCAATTACCTACTACTTTAGTTTCCCTCAATTATTTTATGATAAGTGAACTTATATCAAAAATGAAGTTGAATTATTTTGCATTTCAGTTAATTATATACCACATTAAATATATTAAACTAATTCAATAACATTATTTTAAAAATTTGAATTATTTCCCGGTATTATTTTCTGCCAATGACGTAATGCGCAGTAAGGTTGCGTATAAACCTAAACAACCTCTTATATATAAACCTTGGGCGCAGCTGTCCAACGAGCGATAGATGTAATGCATCAGCAACTGTGTTGTGGCGCAATTGAGTTGATACATTGCGTTAACTCACTTAGGTGCGCCAGTATCAGTGTGTTAGCGCAGCAAATTTTGCTGCGTTACACATGGTTATATCTCATCTCGTCTGATCTGTGTATCCCGGACATGTACTTATTGTAGGCGAGAACACACTCTGGTTTTATTACTTGTTTTCCTTTTCTATTCGTTCCTTCTACCATTCGGTATTTATGTATTGTTGATATCATAGTCACCAATCTCTTGTTCTTCCAGTTTGTAACTAACACTGGACCTATTCTTTTCCATACGGCTTCTCCTTTCTTAATTTTTTCTTTAAATAATTATTTCGAATTTCCCTTTCTAAATTTTCGCAAAGTTCCTACAAGGTTCGTCTTACTTTTGAACAAATATTTTGCTAGCCGCACATTAGTCTAATAATAATCAAGGCATATTTCATGCCCTTTATCCAAACAATCTTTTGGTAGTTCCGTTACGACTGAAAACGAATGGGAATGCTCTTGATCATTGTCTAATGAATTAAGTTATTTCAGGTAGCGTCACATCTTTCCATTTACTAGACTTGTTTCTCGTATTTTCTGCAACCGGCACTGATGTTGTTGCACGATTATTTGTTTTAGTTGCAACTTTATTTATTATATCAACGTCAAAGAATAATCTGGAGTAGTCAATAGGTTTGGCATTATTGCCCAAATTCGATATAAACTTTCCGCGGCATTCCAATCCAACTCATTATCAGACTCAGACTGCAAAGCTGGTGTAGCAGGAGGTGTAGAACCATTTGAGTTTATTTCATCATCAGTAGAAGGGCCCAAATCTTTAAGTGATAAGTCAGCCAAACTCGCTAAATGTGTAAATTTAAACCACCATCTAAATGCATTAGCAAACGCGTCCAGTAAACTGAACGCCGGTAGCGAAGATGTTAAGCTAAATCAAAAATTGTTTATTTTTAGGTTGATAAATCTCCAACGACGAATTATTATCACTGTCGATCATGTTTAAAAATTTTCACCGATTTAAAAGTCCTCCAAAATCATATAAGTTCAGATCATCCCACCGTTTTACAATGTAAATTTTGTAACCAAGAGTAGGTATAGTTCTACAACAACTATACAAATTTCTAAAGTTATTTATTTTTAAGATTTTCCGAACACCTCGATTTCGTGCTACATTTATCAATTTGTAATAAAACTAATAACGAAGAATCTAAATTATTAGACCAAAACGAATTAAAACAATCAGAACCGGAAAAACAAAAAATCATAAAAAAACCAAAAAGGCCCAAAAAATCCACAGTTTATTCTCACATGTGTCATATTTGTGGCCGATGTTTCGCCAACCCGCACTCATTAAAAACCCATTGTATAATCCACACCGGCGTAAAAAATTGGGTTTGCGAACTTTGCGGGAAAAGATATACCACACTATACAGTTTAAATTGTCACATGTGTACTCACGAAGAGGTGAAACTTAAACATCAATGCACTTATTGTCCGAGAACATTTCACGGAAAAGTTGAACTTGAAAATCACCTTAGAATCCACACAGGAGAACGTCCGTTTAAATGTCCCATTTGCTCAAAAGCATTTCGTTTAAAAAGTACTATGAAAACACACTATGAAAGACACGCCTGCGAAAACGACAAAGGAATACGAAGATACACCTGCTCAAATTGCAATAAATCGTTTATTAGTGATATTAGTCTTCAAAGACATGTTGAATCTAAATGTCATAGAAATGATCAAAAAGAATCTAAAGATCACGATAAAGAAAGCGGGGAAGAAACTACGTTTCCTTGTCATATATGTAAAAAAGAATTTCGTTCCGAACGAAATTTAAAATCCCATTTGCTTAGACACACTGCGAACAGGCCGTTTGTTTGTACGGTTTGTTATAGAAATTTTCGAGAGGAAGCCACCCTTGAAGCACATCTTAGATTCCATGCAAGACCGAAACCATTTCAATGTGAAATTTGTGATAAACGGTTTGTTGATAGATCGGCGCTTAGATGTCATAATAGAACACACACGGGGGAGAAACCTTTTGAGTGTGAAGTTTGTACCAAAAGATTTTCCGCTAAGATGTCTTTGAAGGCTCACATGAGAAGTCATACCGGGGAGAAACCGTTTAAATGTTCCTTATGTAATCGTTCATTTACGCAAAGATGTTCTTATCAAACTCATATATTAACAATTCATAATGGTCAAGTTTAAATGTTATTAATAAAAATAAAAAATTTAGTTACATAATTTTGTATTATCATTTGTTTTATTATGTAATTTATTTTTTTTGCAGCAAAATGAAATGATAAGTAATATAAAAATGATATAATAACGACGAACAACGTGCATATAAAATTCTCAGAGATCTAAATAAGGATGAGAAAGATACATCTAAGATAAATGTAATAGATAAGGATCAATGGAAACAGCACTATAGAGACCTATAATAGCATATTGAACTCAAGTTACAAACTATACGCTTGGATAAATAACAACAAGAACATAAGCAATCGCTGAAATATTCGTGGACGACAGAATGCCTTTCGAGGAGGTAGATCATGTATGGATTATGTCTTCACATTACAGCAAAGAATAGAAAAGAGAAGGGAGCAAAATATGGAAACACATCGCATTCATTGATTACACTAAGGCCTTTACGGCAATAAGAAGCAAATTGTGGTCAACACTAGAGAAAAGAGAATTTCCTGATCACTTAACCAGAGCAATAAAGAGCCTTTACAGACATATAAAGCTATAACAATAAACAATGTCTTAGACGAAGACTTGGTCTAATTTTGATCTAATCAAAAAATGGCTCAAGATCCAAATGGCATCCGCCTACACCATAACAATGTCCTGAAATTTTTGCTACGTCAGAAGATAACCTTTAAAAAGCCGTATACTTGCTCAATAGCATAAATAAAGATTACAACTGCGAAATCTCTAAGACAAAAACAATGGTATTTATAGGAAATGGACCAATAAGAACTAAGATATACATTGATAACGCTCGCTTAGAACAGGTCAGCCACTTTAAATACCTAGGATGTGACGCTACCTATGAACACGATAAGGACATACATCACAAATTGACAATCTTCACAAGAATGTGTGGAACTATTAGAGGAACTTTGGGTAATAAATGCAGGAAGGATACTAAAATGAAATTTTATAAGACAATGGCATGATACTAGGAATAAGGATAAAATTTATAACAATTACTGCCGTTTATCCAAAACACAGCTTGGGCCAGAGTACTTATCTCGAGTGGTACTTAACAAACTGCCGAGTGAATTAATAGGAGAGTCTAATAGAAAGACTTTTAAAGGTAGCTTAAAAAAATTTTGTATCAGAAAATATTTTATTCTGTGCAGGAGTTCTTAAATGCAGGGATCGGATTGTAACCACCATACGCTCTTGGTTTTTGTTTATGCTGGTGTATTTATTAAATAAGAAAATGTATTGGAAATGTATTTATTTGGACGAGTGTATGAGCAGCAGTTTAGTAACACAATAAAGTATTATTATTATTAATACCGGCCCTGATGTATGGCAGCGAAGCATGGACAACAAGGAAAGACCTAAGCAAGATAGAGCCCGCGGAAATGAGGTTTCTAAGAACGTCCAAGGGCTGTAACGGATTGGATCATATGAGAAACAAAGATATTAGAGAGGAACTGGAAGTTTTTGCAGTTGACGAAAAAATCAAGGAATACAAAGAGAAATGGATGGACCACATGCAGGATGATGGAATCCAAAATTGGCACTGCAGTATAAACCAAGAGGAAGACGATCAGTGAGACGCCCGAGAAAGAGGTGGTTTGAAGGATAGGTACAGGTCAACAAGCATATTTTTTAATCACAAAAATAACGAAGTGAATAAGTTTTGTGGCATTCCCTTTCATGCCAACCTTGCTTTTAAGAAATTTCCAGTCGTCGATATACCCGGTAGTCATACTCCATAAGGATTGTAGACGGGAGTTTATAGGAGGAATCTTTGTAAGGTCGTATAGGAGTTCGTTGGAAGGGTTGAAAAGTGGGTTGTGAGGGTGTCTAATGCGAGTGATGATTCTCAGGATTGCTCTCTTTGCTACCTTCAGATGGTACTGTGATCCTCTTGGCGCTTCAGTCATGATTAATGAGGCATATTCGATAATAGGTCGTCATATCCGCCTCTATAGGACAGTGAGCGGAAATGTTTGGCGCGGTTTTTGACGTGGGCATAGAATTTAAGGGTTCTATCCAAGGTAATGCCGAGGTAGTTGCAAGTTGGTGAAGCTGTGATAGGAGAAGATTGAATTATTATTGTGGGAGGAGCAACGCGAGCAGGGAGGAAGGGGATGAAAAATTTGGTTTTGAAAGGATTTATTAGGATACGCCATTTTGGGTACCATTCCTCTATGTTTTGAATAAGCGCCTGCAGCCTAAGGACTGATGATGGAATCTCCACATCATGTGCGACGAGAGTAGTATCGCCGGCATAAAGTAGTGCGTAAGACTTCAAATCGAAGACGTCTGGAGAGCTTGTTGAGCGGTGAAACTATGAGAGTTGCAGTTATTCACTTTAACCAATGAGGAGCAGTCGGAAAGAAACTTTTTAGCAGGTTAAGGAGATAAAATGGGATTTTCAACATAGCTAGCTTGTACAGTAGACCTCTGTACCATAAGGAGTCAAATGCCTTCCGAACATCCAGGAACACTGCGACGGATTGTTGTTTTTGGTAACGTGCGACTTGGAAATTTGTGACAAGCACTGCCAAGGGATAAGATGTAGATTTACCCTGTTGGAATCCAAATTGGTATGACGGAATCCTCCTTGCAACAACATCGAACAGCTTATTCTTCAAGTGTACCTCGAAGAGCTTCCCCATTACGGGCAGCAATGAGATAGGACGGTAGTTCGCAGAGTCGGATAGAGAAGAATCTTTCTTGGGGATGCATATGATAAAGGTCTTCCAATCTTGTGGGAAATGCTGGGTGGTCAGGCAATAGTTGTATATTTTTCTTATATAGACGTGGATATCAAGATCCAGGTTCCTTGAGATTTCCCTTGAAATGTTGCCGTATCCAGGGGCTGTACTGGTTCCTCTGTTAGGTAGTATGAAGGCGTTTCGGACGAATTGAGAAAGGCGTGTTGGTACCAATTGTCTACTATATTTTTGTTGTGAGGGCAGAACAAGACCTCATTGCTGAAGGAAAACACCTTCTCAAGGTATTCAGCGTGGACTAGAGGGTGAGCAGCCATCCGTAGGGTCAATAAGCTCCTGGGTTTCTGGTGTTCTTGCTAGTAGTTTTTACCCTTGCTTCTGTTGATTTTATCACAAGCCTTTGGCTTTTGGATATTTTTATTAAGCTCGTTGAACCTTCTTTTCAGAGCAGGCTCCTCATAGGATCTAAAATCGTGGTAGAGTCGTCGCTTTTCCTTGGAGAATAAATGGTGGCAGAGGGAAATTGTAATGTTTCTTGATAATGGAGGGGCTCGCTTCATCCACTAAATTTAGCAAGCGTTTGTTAAAGGTTACGATCAACTCGGGTGTAATAACAGGGTTAGATTTTACATATTCCTTTATTCGTACGTTCGCTCTTTCCATATTACAAAGCTTATAGTTTTTGATTAAGGTAGGAGCTACTTTAGGTATTCGAGTGGTTGTATTAATGCAGATCACAAGACCCAGATAGTCAGAGCACAGGCCAGGAACGACATTAACAGACGTGATACAAGTTGATTTTTCTCGAAAACGGTCAACTTTAGAGCTAATGACCTTTAGTACCTTTTTTGTGTAAAAAACATTGGCGGTTGAAATGGGCGTCTCAAAACCGTACTTTTTCCAGTGGTCTTCAAAATCTTCACCAATAATGACTTTAAAAAAACTTTTTCTTGCACAAAACTTAGCTTATTATGAGTAGAAAATGCTTACAACAGCAGCTTTCTGTACGATAAACGGTTCCGGAGATATTCGCAAAAAACGAATTTTTTTATTGAATTTCAACACCTTGTATCTCGAAAATGGTGCATTTTAGAGGGTAAGTTGATAGAAATTTTGTTCAAATTTTTGGACAAGATCACATACTGAAGTCCTGCGCATATATTATGAAACACTCTGTATAGCTCACTTAAACTGAGGTCAACCTCTTTTTCCTGCTGGAACAGGGAAAGGAAAACGTCCGCTACTGTACATCAGTAGAAATTTGCTTATATTATTTTGAAAACTGCAAACTATCACTCTTACTCAGCAATAGCTGAGATAAAGGTAGCAGTGTCTAACAATAACTAAAATATTTTTATAAACAAATTAATCTTTATTATAAAGCAAATATAAATTTTTACAAATTTGTAGGTGAAACTAATTTTATAAACTGAGACATTTAACTCATTAATTTGATGTTAAATAACGATATTTTCTATGTTCAGAAATTGTAATTGTTTTTAAACTTTGATATTTGGTACATATTGATTGATAACTTTGTTTAAAATTCATAAAATCCGCTTCTATATCAACCTCAACCTGCTCACATTTATTACTCAACAATCTTCCCTTATTTTGTAATTCTTTCTCAACCAATTCTAATTTGTTATACATCTCGACAAGTTTTTGGATATCGTTTTCCAATTCTTCCATCTTCTCATTTAAATCATTACAAGTTTTTTTAAATTTCTTCCCTTCCTGTTTTGTTTCATTTTTTAATTGTTCAATATTAACTTTATGTTTCTTATTTTCTTCTTTTAATTTTTGAACATTTTCACTTAAATTATTTTTTATTACATTTTCCCTTTCAATTAATTCTTCCTTTTCTTTGAATTCTTTAAATGCATGAAGTGGATTTGTATCGATTGTATCCAATAAAGTTGAAATATGTTTCAAATGGGTTAAATCTTTAGATTTTTCCATAATTAGATCAGATTGCTCAAATATTTTAACATCTTTTTCTAATAATGTATTCTTTATAAATTCAATATCTTTGATTTTTATATCAAAAGTATCTTTATTAATAATATTTTCTTGCAACACAGCATTGTTTTCATCAACTTGCATTATCTGTTTTTGTAAAGAAGCTATTTTTTCTTCTTTAATTTTATTTTCTTTTTCAATTTCTTTGGTGTCTTTCAACTGAGCTAATCGTTTAGTCGTGATAACTTCTTCACACTCTAAATCATCCAACATTTTCCCATTTTCATCGTTGTAATTATAAAGTTCCTCCATTAATTGATTCTGTACATTTTGAGATTCCAAACATGTCTCAAACTG